ACTGTGAAGAAAACCTTAACAAAAGTAAACGTTGCACATACGCAAAATACTGCCACAAAATATCAATTGATATTCGAACCGACGATAAGTACTATTATTACGGGTGACAACTAAAAAACGAGACTGGATTTAAAGACACATATCTCTTTAAAGTAATATATAAAACAAAAAGGAAAAATGTTTTAGAAAGTATTTTTATTCTATTTTTTAAATATATAATCAGCTGTTCTCAATTAACCATTTCTTCTGACTTTATCAACTAGGCCTGGTATAGACTGAGCATAGTCTATACCTGACTTTATCAACTGAGCCTGGTATAGTCTCCATATGAGCTCAATATAAATTTTATTAAGACAATACTTGATTCTAGAACGTAATTTTTTAAGATTTTCTGAATGCCAATTATTCTTGTAGACAAGGCCTTTCAAATTACTCCAAATATTTTCGATAGGGCGCCATTCTGGCAAGTTTACAGGGTTATCCGCTTTCTCAACATAATGCACGTGTTCCTTGTTTAGGTACATAATTACTGTTTTTGCATAGTGAGATGATGCTAAATCTGGTCAGAATACATATGCACCATCTGAATGATACCTATTGATAAATGGAGTAAGTCTCTTCTTAATACATTTGTTTAAATAGATTTTTTGGTTTACAGCCAGTCCACTTGGTACAAAATAAAGTTGAGAAATTCCATTTTCAGAAAAAGCAATCCATAGAAAAAATTTCTTTTGTAAATTTTGTTTTGTTTGATATTTAACAGTAGATGGAGTAGATTTTACATCACTAGTATAAAATATATCCATTGATACTGGAGTGATTTAACGTGAAATAAGACTCATCGTCAATGATTGGTTTACGTTTTTTGAATTTCTGACACAATCGACTGCACTTAATTCTAGCTACTGGTTTTTGCTGGTCAGAACGTTTTGGAGTTGTCATTTTTTTTTCTTGATTTAATATTTGTTCTTTTTTTTAATGTTTTACTAATGTGTTGCTGAGTACAGTTGAACTTTTTAGCTGCCTGTCGTTGAGAAACTCCGTCTTTATGGTTAAACATGAGTTTGAGCCTTTCAATGTTTGTCCTGGTCATTTTTTAGCTTTTACTCCACTTCCTTAAATTCTTTGGTACCCAGATTCACTTTCAGCACGTTTAATTATCTTGTAGATAGTACTTTTAGATATATTCTTAACTTTAAAGTGGTCATAAGTGAACTTTTTACCAGAATTTTGAAATTTTAATAAAATTCATACACACGTTTTGTAATCTCTTCTTGTTTTGAATTTATTTTTTTATTCATTTTTCTATAAAAATAAAAATACATAAAATATTTAAAAACTAGAATAAAAATACATTCTAAAACAGTTTTACTATTTTTAAAGTCTTATTCCTTTAAGGAGATACGTGTCTTAAAATCCAGTCTCGTTTTTTAGTTGTCACCCGTTAATAATTTTATTTGCTTGTTTTATTATAACTATTATTGCAAGTATTACTATTTTTTATTATTATAAATGCTGCTTTTCAAAATATATACATATATAAATACATATTTCAGAATATATACATATATAAAGTATCATTATTATGCCGTAACGTAGTAAAAGCGAGGTATGGGACTATTTTGCGATCAATTTAAATGACACTAACTCTGCAAGATACAAGATTTTGCAGAACAGTTATATCCAGGGTGATGGCAAAATTTCTCAGTCATACACAAAATTGAACATGCTAAAGCATTTAAAAACTTTTCATAAACCTGATGTCACAAATGAGAAACAGGATAAAGCTAGTGATTTCGATAAATTCGAGGATAGCTCTACTGCAGGATCATCTTCTAAATCCAGTCCTAACCCTGCTTTTGAAGCTCCTCTGACCATGCCACAAAAATCTCGATCTACTACACTCACATCCGTGTTCACAAGTGCCAGGCCTGAGTCTGAGGATGCGGAGATCAATACTAGAAGCTTTTCTTCTACACTTAGTTCTGTAAAAATGAAGCCTAGATTTTCATTTCCTAAACAACTGACAATAAACCATGTGTTTGCAAAGGCCAGGCCTCTCACATCTACAAATCCAAAGGCAATAAAAGTTACAAGGCTTATTGCTGAAATGATTTGCACAGATAACCAAATTATTAGTAGACCGGGATGATTTCGCCACTTTTAATATTTCAAGAAAAAGATGTTATTTTTGAATAACACCATATTATGATGATGTAAATATTTATTATTTTAAAATTATAACCTTATAACTATTGATTGATCATAGTTGCCGCCTTATTTGATTGGTTGTTGTAAATTTTAAATAAGATTTGGTGTTTAGTGTTATTAATTGATATTATTGTGTCACTCTTGTTTCAAGTGGCATTATTATTAATTTTGTGAAATTAATTGAAACTTCATTTGAGAATAACTGCTAAGGTGGGAACTTCATAAATTTTTTAAAACTATTTATCTGGCGTTCGTGGTATATATTTTAAATAGATTTCTGTTTGTTTCGAGTCTTTTTTTTTCATTTTTAATTATTACTAAATAAATTTTTTTTTTAATAATACATTTAAAGAATTAAGTTTATAATAAAATAGGAGTGATTGCAAGTATATTAAATTATTCCTTCAAGTTTAATATTTATTTCCAAAAGAAAAACAAATCCTATAAAAATACGAACCTCCAGTTGGCTATTCAAGAATGAAAATGTCATGAAGAATGAAATGTTAAATGAAGAAGTTCTCAAACAAAAAAAGCTGAAGAAAGAAAAATAATTTTTGACCTAATCAAGTAAAAGCTCAAAGAAGAGGAAATCCCATACTTTAAAATCATTATTACCTAGTACATCAAAAGCTTACAACAGAAACAACAAAAAATAACACTGCTTTGTGTTTGGTGTGGCATGGATGGATTTATCAGAAGACTTGCTCCAATGCGTTACTTTTCATATATGGGCGTGCGATGTCTGCTCTTGCATCAACATATCCACAGAATGTGCTAATTTCAATAAAGTATAATGAAGCTTTAATTCTTTTTACATTGGCGAAATTGCCTCATAAAAGGCAAAATTGCCCCATATAAGTGTGTAATACAAATCAATGTTTATGAGTATAAATAATTTTTTCTTTGGAATTTTTAAAGGTGGTTGAAGTAAATATAGTTTATTCAATATAATTCAGTTAATAGTATACGAAAAAAGCGTATCATGTTGAACAGACGACATTGAAGCAGTAAAAGTGGCGAAATCCCCCCGGTCTACCCTATTGTAGAAAATCCCGGTTTCAAAAGCTTACTACAGTTTTTGGAGCCGAAATATACAATACCAAACAGAAAATAGTTTTCGACTATTCAAATTTCTAACATTTATCAGAAGGTATCAAGTAAAATTATTTTTTTGGCAAGGAAAGCTTATCAAGTTAGTATAACTACCGACATATGGAGTTCCACAGCTAATGTTGATTACATTCGTCTAACAACACATTTCCTCACATAAGATGCGAAACAAATTCACGTTTGTCTTGACGTGGTACCTTTTTCGTACTTGTCCCACACTAATCTTTTTAAATTTATGAATGAATCACTTGAGCGTTGGGGAATACTTGAAAAACTCAATGTAGTAGTAAGAGATTATGCCAGAAATATTGTCTTTTTAATGGAATTAAGAAACTTGTCAAGCATTCTCTATCTTGCTTATACACTTCAGTTGGTTGTAAAAGACGGCTACTTTGACAATGAACGCATTTTTTACTAACTGCTACATGTAGAAGAATATTAGGACACTTTAAACATTCGGTTAAGTCGTACAAACTTTTAAGACAATCTCAGGAGATTTTGGGACTTCCAAAACAAAGCATCATCAAGATAAGCCAACTAGATAAAATATGAAAAACGTGATGTGATTCCTCTCATTGCTGCTTTAAAAGTTTTTGAAGACGTCACGCTTGCTTTAAGTTCATTAAAAGTGACCACATCAGAAGTTATCTCAATAACAAATGCAGTTTACATTTAATTACATTAATTAATAATAATTCAGTTAATTGCATCAAGGACCACGGAATTATCAAAGAGCCTCTATGTGAACCTTTGCATTGTCGTTACGGAGACTGCGAGAACGAATCAGTATATGCTTTTGCAACAATACAAGAGCCCAGATTTAAAAACGAGATTTTCAGGAGCAGAACGATGGCTAAGAAAGCTGTTTTTTTAATGATCGGTGAGTTGAATGCATAAACGAAGAATCTTAAAATTAAAGCTGCTGAAAATCAAGAACGGGACACGCTTGCTCCAGGCACTGTCTGGTCATTTTATGACCAATTAATCAACACAAATTCTGTAGTAAGTATTGTATGCGCTTCTATATAATTATTGTACTTTAAACATTGCAAAACATTTGACTCAGTTTGTCTGCGCAGCAGCCTTATTCGTCAAGGTCAATTTTTCAGATTTAAAGAATTGAGAAAGAGTTGTAATCACCACTAAGAACACAAAAAAGTAATAATAAAATAAGTTGCCTCTTCGACTGAAGTGGACCCCTCGGCCTTTGGGAGGTGAGTAATAGGAAAAAAATTATTTTAATAATTTAGATACATACTGCGTATTGCACAATATCAAACGAATTAGCAGAGTACTTGAAAGAAACTCTACTCGCAAGACATTTTTGTGATTTGCAAGATCTCGCAAGTCACGAAGATGTCTTTGATTACTGAAGGAAATTTTTTAATTTCCTCCAGTCTCTATGTACAGTACAGGACGTCTCTATGTACAGTATTTTCGAAGCGGTTATTTTGTACTGCCGGGCTTATCTGCAACCGGAAAAGAAGCCGGTCAATTTTAAAACGAGTACGAATGCTTGTGTTTTTGAACAAAAACCTGCCGTTTCTTAACTAAAAGTCATAATATTAGTGACATATGCAAATGCTGAAAAGGCAACATCCTGATCACTTACCATTACTTATGACTATATTATTTGTTTCTTATTAATAACAATATATGCAAAATATACAAACATTCCGTTTATTATTTGTTATTTATTATTATGATATATATATTTTTCTTTTACATTTCGTCATTAAAATAATAATCTTTTACAATGTTTTTACAATATAAAAGTATAACATAAAATTTTCGGCCGGGGCTGCCAGAAGACATTGTCTTTTCATCCAGTCTCGATAAGATAACTGAAAAATTCATCTAAAATGGAAAAAAGCAATTAAAACGAGAACTGTTTTAACAATCAGTTTACTGTTTACAGAAACGTCAACAACGAATTAATATTTAAAGAACTAAATATTAATGAACTCAAAAATGCAATAAACTCTCTTAAAATAAATAAGTCTTTAGGTAAAGATGACATTTGCAGTAATATTGTTGTTAATGTCTTTTCGGAGATACGCAAACCTAATTTCGAAATATTTAAATCATAAGTTAAAACTGGAACTGTACCAGATAAATCAAAAGTACCTAAAATTGTACCTATATTTAAAACCGGTGAAACATTTCTAATAAACAACTACAGACCAATCTCAATACTGCCAACCTTTTCCAAAATACTTGAACGAATAATCTGCAATAGATTATATGAATACCTAATTCAAACACTTTCTTAAATAAAAAACAATTCGACTTTCAAGCACAGCACTCAACAAAACATGCAATTTTAGATTTAGTTAATAGCAAGTTCTTCAAATAAAAAGGAATTTGTATTAGGAACTTTTATAGACCTATCCAAAGCATTTGATACAATTAATCATGATATTTTATTTAAAAAAATGGAAAAATAAAAAATGGTTATATACAAAGTTACCTAACATACTACCTGGGGAAGTACAACTACATCTAAATCTACCTGGGGAAGTACAACTAAATCTAAATTAAATTCTCTATATATACACTAGAAACACGCATCAAGATTGGTTTATTATAAAAATAAATTCACTTATGCCCATTCTTTATTTAAAAACTTGAATGCTTTAAATATCTATTAAACTAACATCTACCAAAATCTTTTATTTATGCTCAAATATAAGGTCAGACTTGCCCCAACTCATTTCACTAATAACTTTTTTCAAACCAACGCCAACAGATATATCACACGAGGAAAAGGAAACTTCACATTGAAGTCACTTTTTAAATTTTTAGTTTATTTTGTATTTTAAAGGTTCTCTATGAAAAGACTTCTCTTAGTCTTCTGCAAGTTTTCTTACAGCTACATAGTATCATTATAATATATTCATATATACTTTTAACGACAACCACAAGCAAGTCCCTAGTATCCCTTACATTTATGTTTTAAATGCTTGAGTTAATAGCACTTTAAATTATAAACCACAAATTTTTAGATTAATTATTTTAACTCGCTGTCAAACGCGCATGCGTGAAAAAGCATTGTTAACGTTCTTTAGATATTGTAAATTTGTGTAATAGACATTTATATAAACTGGTGACATGTAAATGTCATTTGTTTTTGAAATATACAATGATTGTTGTAAAAAAAAATACAAAAATTCGTTGGTACCTAATCACAGATTTCAACTTTAAATTCGGTGCCGTAAAATACTAATACGCACATACCTATATATACTGGTAATATATACTATATATACTGGCAGGCAGAGAACATCTGCTGTACATCTTGAGAACGTCCTACGGACTGTTGTATAGACGTATACAACCGCGGACGTGTGTGCCTGCTAGGTTAGCATAAATAAGTTTGGTTTTTTCTATAATAAGTGTTTACAAATAGTTATAATAGTTATAATAGCAATAGTTTTGAAACCACAATGACAACAATATAATATACACCAGAAAAAAAAAGGTAATCCTTAATAAAATTTCAAAATTAAAGGAAGTCTTTTTTTTTTTTTTTTTTTAGTTTATATATATTTGCTGTTTATATAATAAGAAAATATAATTACAAAGAAACGTTTACATACAAAAAAAAGTTGATTTATAAAAACAGGCATGGGCTCAAAGAAGATACGGATGACTAAAAACTAAGAATAATGGAATTCGATGTTTATTTAGAAAAATTGCAAAATTATTTATAATGTTTAAAAATTTATTTTTTATTAGAAACTTGAAGGAGTCTAATGGTTTTACCTTATTTAAATGTTTGGTTTTTTTAAATGTGTTCGATAGTTTCGGTCCACGGTATGCTATTCCGTATTCAGAATACTTGCTCCTAATTCTAGGCAATTTATAAGTATTCCATTGGTTTATTCTAAGAGAGTAATTATTGTTAACATTTATCGTAAATTTATATACATAATATATATACATAAAAATTAAGTGTTGGTAAATATTAATTTCATATATGTTCATATTTTTTTTCTTATATATTAGTCTGCATGCATGTTTTTGTAGAGAAAATATTTTTTTAAGTTTTGTTGATTGAGTACTAGCCCATGTAATATTAGAATAGTAAATAAAACAATGTATTAGGCCAAAATATACTAGTTTCTTATACAAAATTTTTCAAAATACACTAGTTTTTTTGCTTATACTTATTTAGTAAAATAAAAACTAACCATTATTAGTGTAATTTATTGGCAAAAAAAATCGATCGCTGGGATTATTCCATTCTCTTCAACAATTTTTTTTCTTAATTAATGTATAAATAATAAAAAAAAAAAATTTTAATTAATCTTAAAAACTTAAATATTTTTATTTTAGTTAAGATTAAATAAATTTGCTGCCATGTTCAAAATAATGCGATGTATAATAATCTTTAAATTGAGGTAGTTAAATTCATCTCCAATTATTGTATTGTTGGGCATTTAAGCTACAAATTATAATCTTGACGCCATTTTTAACAAATTAATCCATACATAATAAATCTTATCTTGACGTTAGTATAATAAATCTAATCCATACATAATAAATCATATCTTGACGTTAGTATAATTGGGTTTGGCTCCATTTTTTAACGTTGTGAGAATTTAACTTTTCGATTTTTAATTATTTTACAGTTTTAAACAATTTTACAAATTGTTTTACAGTTGTTGTTGTTTATATTGATAAAATAATTTTTTTTATAATTAATCTTACATTATTTTATAATTTTAAAATTGCTTATTTACAAATTAATTGTTAATTCCAATTTTGTTAAATAAGGTTAAAATTTACAATGAAAAAACAACTACTGATAATTTTTAAAGTTAAATAAATAATAATAATAAGATTAATATATCTAAATTTTTTACATATATCTATAATATATATATATATATATATATATATATATATATATATATATATATATATATATATATATATATATATATATATATATATATATATATATATATATATATATATATATAATATAATATATATCTATAATATATTTAAATTATGTAATTTTGAACACAAAGTTTAAATTTTTTTACCATAAAATTTTGGAGATAGAACCTTATAAATCTTATCTACTGATATGCTATTTTGTTTTATTTTAATTTAACGATTTTAACAAATTTTTACTTTTAATTTTGGGAATTTAAGAAAGTCTAACAAATTTATTAAATTCTCTCAACAGTAAAACAGGTAAATAAAAGCCTATTATTCTAACGTCATGATATGTTGAGTTGCAGGCAGTGGATGGAACAATAATGTATAATATATATGTATAATATGAGAAAACTTTTAAATTTTGTTTTAACATTCAGAAGTCTTTTTTGATATATATATATTTTTTTTTTCTATAAATATATAGGCAAGGGTGAAAAAAATTTCAATATTTATTACGCTAAAGGAAGGTCTTGAACCCCCTGAAACAATACTGATGACAGCGCACTAAACCACTGAGCTATCGATAATTTGCATTTAGAAGAAAAAGAAGCGGAAAAGGTGGGCATGTAAATTATTTTTTTTTATGCTTTTATAGCCATTTTTTAGAATGATTTTTTTCTTTAAAAAATATTGAAATAAATGAGGAATAGGTAAAGAAATGATCAGTTTAGAATAGATAAGTATAGAAATGGTCCAAGCGAGTTTCTGCGTGTGTCTTAGCATGTTTTTTATTTCTGTGATAAGATAATATTTTATTTAGGAAGCAGCAGTTTAAAACGACAAAAAAAGAAGTTGTTACTACAACCAAAAAATTATTACAACAAACAAACAAAAAAGGGGAATATATAAAACATTATATATGACTCGTTCCTGCTAGTTGTAGTTGTAATAATTAGAGTTATCTGCGTATATTAAAATGTTTAATTACTTTATGACAGGGTGTTATATATATTATTTTAGAATCTGTTGCTACACAAAAAAGTGTTGTGAAATAAATTAAATATAAACACATAAATTTTATCTTAAGTGTAAAATGAAATATTAATAAATATGAAAAACTTATGACCATATAAAATTTTGACCCCCTCAAATTGGGTTCAAACTTTATAAGGTCATAATCTTTGGAAACTAAAATATTTTACTATGAAATTTAAAATATATCGATGAATATAAGTCTAGTTGAAAATAGTACAAAAAATATTTCATTAACTTGTTGCTCTCATGTTTAGGACAGGGCTAAAATTTTAGGGTTTCTTGTTCTCATTCCTTTCACAGTAATTTTGTATTACACTCACATTAGTAAAACTAATATGAATGAATACAAATTCATGAAAAAGAATGTCTTTTAATTCTTGATGAAATGTCAATAACTGAAAGTGGTAACTAAAGGCCGGGTGAATAAAAAAAAGCAATGGCTTATACTCAGTAATTGGTCAGCTTTTACGTGAATAAAAATTTCAGCAATTTTGCTTAAGTTTTTATACATGTAAAGCCAAGTAATTACTGAGTAAATTGCTTAACTTTACGTGAATAAAAATTTGTGCAAAACTACTGAAGTTTTTATTCACGTAAAACTGACCAATTAATGAGTAAAAGCAATTGCTTTTTTTTATTCACCCGGCCTAATGATACATATCAAGTTCCTACTATGGAGCTGTTAGGTTACCTTAACATTATACTATAATGTTTAGGCCATAATTTATGGCCAAGCTAACCATACTTTAGTTGGCAGACGTGTATTTCAGGAACCCCCTTTGGAAAGTCCATAAAAAACGCTTATACAAAACCCCAACCCTGAAACTTAGGGTTAGGCTCTGGGTTTGTTTTATGTTTAGCTCAGGGTTTGGTTTATGGCTTTCAATAAAACAAATTTTATTTTGGGGTTCAAGGTTAGAGTATAATTTTCAATAAATGTTACGCGTAAAACGTGACTTATTTTTTACGGACTTTCTAAAGGGGGCGATAGGTGGGTGTGTTGATGTGATAGGTAGGTGTATTGATGTGTGAAAATTGATGGGGGGGGGTAACCCCCCTCCTCCCCCATCAATTTTTCTAATTATATGTTTGTTACATACAAACAGCCTAATGTGGGAAGTTTATTTTTTGCTAATGAAACAAACTTTGCATATTTTTTATTTTTAAATTGAATTAATATTTAGATCAATTTTTTTACTTCACTTTTTAGTAAAAAAAATGAAGTAAAAAAATTATTTTGAACTTCGCAAGAAGATATGACAGAGCATAAATTGGCTTTGAAAAAATAGATTTAACTAAAACCAATTTATAAAAAAATTGTAAAACGTTTGTCAGCTATAAACTTTTGTTAAGTAACCTATAAATTAAAAGTAATTTTTTGAAGCTTTTTTTAAAGAATTTATTTATTTGCCAAATAAATTTTTGTTTAACAAATAATTTTAATTAAAAACTGCAAAAAAAAAAAAAAAAAAAAAAAAAAAACATAAAATATTTAAATTTTCAAAACGAATTTTCGTTTAAAATAATGTTTTACACCATAGCTTTTATTTAAATTCATTCAAGTCACGCGCTAATTTGGCAAAAACATGGCCACCGTTTTCCGAATGTCGCCTCTCTGGATATATAAGCACTCTAGAAATGATAGGGTTCAATGTATATTTGAATTATATTAAAATAGGACTTGTTAGTGCTTTTTTTATCTAAATAAATAAATTTAGAAGTAGTAATAAACAAATTTATTATAAAGTTTTTCTAACTCTTTTAGAACAAAAAAAAAAGCATAAAAAATATTTAGGCCTCATTCATACTCCTAAAATAAAATAAAATAATAAAAAAGCTCAATAAAAAAAAAAACTGCTAAAAAACTGAGAATAAAGTTAAAACAAACGAATTAAAAAATTAGAAGGGGTGATCCTTTTTACTTTTTACCTAATAGAAATGTAATATATAATTTTCTAAACTGTTTTTTATACTTACTTAGTTTATAATACAATCTTAATATTATACATTTATCTTAATATTATATATTTATATAATTTATCTAATATTTCTTAACTATTATACAATAATTAAATTCCAAAAAGTAGAAAATTTTAACTTGCTTGGTAAATCTTTTTCAAATGATCGCATGCATTTTGAGAACGCGCTTTTTCAAGAAAATCTTAGTGACTAACTAAAACTGCTTTAAAAACGAAAGAGAAACGACACTGTAAGTCTAAGTGAAACTATTAAAACAAAAGTGAAACGACACTACTATTAAATTACATTATTAATATCAAGATTAATATTAAGATACTATTTTATTTATACATATAAAATAACTATGTTTATGTCTTATGCAAAGCTGTTCAAGTTATGAAATAAAATATCAGTTTGTCTTGGTTGCAAGCTATACACAAACCAGCACTCCTTAAATCGGCATTCATAAAAGAATATAGTTTTTATGTTTATTCTTGTTTTTGGCAGATTAATCAGTTTTTAATAACTTTTTTGAAGTATGTTTGCGGACTTTTTTACTTATAAGTACAATAGATAAATATAAATAAACAAAGAAAGTTGTGATACACATTATTATGTAGTCTAACAACAGTAGATGCTGTAGATGTCAGACTTAAACAGTTTTGGATATATTTATTGTAGAGCGTTTTATAAATGTTTGAGTTTTTCGCTTTCACAATTTCTTAATTTGTTGAAATTTAGTGATTTATTAAAAATAGTTCCATTTGGCCATTATTCTATTTATGTAAAAATTATGTTGATATATATCATTTATTGTTGCCTTTCGTAATAGAATTTTCTATAATTGTATGAGAATTTAGTTTAGTTCATCTAAATTTTCTATAATCGTTTGAGAATTTAGTTTAGTTCATCTAAATTATTAAATGTTTAGCTGTATCACTTTAAAATTATCACTTTATCACTTTTAGTTCTAACAATTTAAAATATGGAAACAAATCTAAGTTGTTTGGAAGAAAATTGCTTGGAGAAAGCAGATTTTATTTATCAGTCACGTTTATATATTCTATTAAGTTCAGGGAGAACGATCGAAGGTTTTCCCATCAATAAAAGTCTGGTTATACCAGTTACAATGACTCAACTGAGTCATTTTGGTAAGTTATTTTTATAAAAGGTAAATTATTGATTATCACTCATTTATTTGCTAGTTATATATTTTTATTTTGCAAAGAATAGTACTATTTGTTTACTATTTGATAAATGAGTTGTACTAATTGTTTAATGATTTCGAAAGACAAAGTTAAACTTCGCCGTAACTTAGTCTAAGCAAAAGTGGTTTGATGTCAAGTTAATGGCTTCAACTTTATTCGTCACTAATAAAAATAAATGTAATTGTAACATGATACCCAGCGGGTGCAGAGTGTACAAAAAACGTACAATGTGCGTTTAGTTTGCGTCCTGAACGTCCTAGACCTTTTTGAAACCAAAATAATTTTTTTTTGTCAGCATGGAAATTTCAAAAGACGTCTAGATTACATTCGGAAGAGTACCGTTTTATAATGAAACACCCCAAGTGGGCACGGGACGTAAAAAAGACGTCCTTTTAATTAGCGTCCGTCCGTCCCATTTAAATTCTAAACGTCTTTTGAACGTCTTTTTTGAGTCCGCTAAATTTTTCGTTTAAAAAAGATCCAGAATGCTTTATTAAATCAAAATTAAATTAGTTAAATTACGCAATCATCAAGACATTTATTTTTGTTAACTAAAAATGCATTTTTAATACAAATGTGGAAGAAACTTTCAAGTGTAAAAGAACTTATATTTTTTGGAAAAATAAAAAAAATATTTTTAGTAATAAATACTTTGAGAAAAAAAGATTTACTTTATATATATATATATATATATATATATATATATATATATATATATATATATATATATATATATATATATATATATATATATATATATATATATATAAGGATAAATATATGGACAAGATGGATATATATATATATCCATCTTGCTCTCAAAAATTTGATACCAAAAATCTAGTTATTTTACAATGGGTCCCAAAGTTAAGCCTTGTTCTTAGAAGAGAGTTTCGTAAAGTCGGCGTTAAAACAGTCTTCCGTTTTGGTAATATCTTAATCAATATACTTTGCCGTAACAAGTCTAAACTGCCTCCGATTAGTCATCCAGGAGTGTACCAACTTAATTGCACATGCGGTGCATGTTATATTGGTGAAACAAGAAAAAAGATTTCCACACGAATTTAAGAACATAAAAATAATGTTACAAATCCAAGTGGGAAACATCAGGAATAGTAGAACACTCACAACATTGTAATGGCAAAATAAACTGAGAGAACGCTAAAACGCTTTTTATTATTCCTATCAGCTGCACCAGAATAATTCGTGAGGCTATTGAAATACAACCTATACAATGTTTAAAACCTAAAGAAAACGTTTTAAATCGCGACAATGGCAGTTTGGTGATGACTTACCATTGGAAACCATTTTTTGTGAAATTAAAAAAGTTGAATATCTGACGTTGCAATGACATCATTTGTTTACGTTTATTATAATTTTTAAAAGGTTTTATTAACGGTTTTAATAGTTTGATAATGGCTCCCACTATATGAGCCGAAATATCATTTAAAAAAAAATAGTATGATACCGTATATGATGTTTTAATGCTAGAAAAAAGAGACTTTTAAAGAGACTTTTTTTACCATAAAAGTCTCTTTCGACTACACTATAAGAATATATATATATATATATATATATATATATATATATATATATATATATATATATATATATATATATATATATATATATATATATATATATATATATATATATATATATATATATGTATATATATATATATATATATATATATATATATATATAATATATATATATATATATATATATATATATATATATATATATATATATATATATATATATATATATATATATATATATATATATATATATATATATATAAAGCAAAAGATAGTCAAGCCAGTAAACAAAAGTAAATCTTTTTTTCTCAAAGTATTTATTACTAAAAATATTTTTTTTATTTTTCCAAAAAATACACTAATACAAAGTATTTTTATATAATTAATTAAATAAACTTTAAGCACTAGATTCTATTCAAAATCATCAGCAGCAGGGCCGGCGCGAGTAGGGGTCACGTGTGGGGGGGGGGGGTGTCATTACAACAAAAAAAAAAGGTCCTCGTTTTTAAAATTTACCGACTGCCATAACGACATTTGCCGACTGACTTTACCGACCAACCTATCGAAAGGGTCTACATTTGCCGACTAACTAGTCAAAAAGGGTCCATTTGCCGACTAAGGGTCAAATTTGCCCACTAAAAGTCATTGATGGCGGGTTTTATACCCCCCACACACCCCTATCGCGCCGGCCTTGATCATCAGTAGTCTGATATAGTATAGTCATTAGCCCAACATATAACATTTTTTTAACCTAATTTAAAGATACATTAATGTTATGCTAAATTTAAGATTATAATGACATCTTTTGTTAACACTGCTCTCAGAAAAAATTGAATATTCTTCTTTTCAAAGGGTATTTTATTAATAACAAGAATATATATATATATATATATATATATATATATATATATATATATATATATATATATATATATATATATATATATATATATATATATTACGTCATAAAGTGTATTATAGTTCTCTTTATTCCTTTCTCATTTATTTTTACATACTTATCTTTACAATTTTTTTAGGTTTAGACTGTTTACCTGATTCCTACAACAAAAAAGAACTTCAAAATGCTGTTAACAATAATCTAAAGCCCACACCTCATCTAAAAGAAGGTGAATGACGTCAAGTGTTCGAACAGTCGATTCAATTTGATGAAGAAGTTTAAAAAAATTATAGTTTATAAAACTTAGCTCAATTATACTATTAAAAAGTTTACGCATATTTTTATTTTTTATTTATTCTCAAAAAGTTAAGTGAAAACATAAATTTTAACCTTACGTTTGAGTAAAGCCATGTAAAGACACGTATTATAGACGTCGAAATGAGGAAGGCTAAATTAGGTTATTTAAAAACGTCATTTGGCGTTTCCATTTAGCCCTAGTTCTGAACGTCCTAAATTCACATCTTTGAGACGTCTGAAAAACGCGTCTTTATTCTTTCCTAAAAAGACGTCCTAATTACGTCCTAAAAAGACGTCATCTGGCATTGTCAATTAGAACTAGTTCTGGACGTCCTAAAAAGACGTCTTTTCGACGTCATATGGACGTTGCCGTGTCCACTGGGTAATAATTGTTTTTTATGGCGTAAATATATTTTCAAATATAAGTCTATTTTTAAATTTGTTCCTAAAAATTAAAAATGTCAATATTCATGTCTAAAACATTTTATTTTCTTTATCCTAATGAAAAATACGTCAATTTATCAAATAATTATATTCAATTCTGCTAAAAACAACTTTATATAATTAAGAAGACTTATAATAAATAAGAGAAAAAAATAATCGAGAGAAAAATATAGGGACTTTAAAAAGATTGCCCAACGAAAATTTGCAACAATCTCAAGCGCATCCCAGTTAGTTAACAAAGACAAAGCCACGATGGTACGGTGTAATAATGTCTAATTGCTGTTCTGCCAGTTCTTGTCCTGCACTGGCTAGCTGCTGTTTTGCCATCACTGGCTAGCCACGACTGGCCCATGAAAAATCCTTAGAGCAAAACGGAGATTTGCCAACATCGGCAACCGTAGGCGGTCCAGCGTGATAGCCTACACAGGAGCACGAATATTACTCGCTGTCTAGAAAGTAATATTCGTTAACGATTAAAACGATTTGTTAAACTTCTTAACCGAAGTTGAACGATTAATAAGAATAGAAAAGAAATTTTAATAAGGATAGTTAACGGTTTTATAAAGAGTTGTTTCAAATAGATTAGGTTGTAATTTTCAATTTTTAATGCATCAACAGATTATTCCTTACATTTTTTTAAACAAATTAATATTTAGTTTTAGTATTTATTAAATAATTAAAATAAGTTAAAAATTATATACTATTTTTTTTTTTTATATATAGGTAGTTATATCAAAACTGTATCTAAATGAACTGAAACATTTTGCCCAAAATATTTAAAAAGCTTAAATTAGCAATATTACGATTAAATATTCTAATTTATACTATTAACTACTCTAATTTATTACTATTAACTACTCTAAAATTTAATTAATTAATCAACAATATTGTTGAATAAAAATACTATTAGTTATCAATATTTTTTACAAATTTTATTGTTACTGCCACAGTTATTACCTAAATTATATATATTTTTATACTTCATTTCTTTCAAAAGGATATATTTTTTATAGGAAAATATACTTGTGTATACAATCAATAATTATCTTTGTATATTTATCGACAATATACATTGTATAAATAAAGACAAAAACTGTTATACAATTTTGCTTTGTTTTGTTATGTTATACAAGGACAATATTGTCAATGTAAATTCTATGACAATAAAAGATTAATAATAAAAAAAAGGAATTCAAAAAGATTACAATCTAGTCAAATTATAAGTGCTATATTTAAAATGTATTATTTTTCATTTGTTTGGTTAATTGTTATTATATTTAATGAATCTTTCTTTTTTATTTTTGACTGTTTTTTTGTGTTATATACTACAGGTTTGGGTGTTAACACCCAAACCTGTAGTATATAACACAAAAAAACTGTCTAACACCCAAACCTGTAGGTTTTTTTATAGTAAGCAAAAAAAGTGAGCAAACTATTACTACATTTACTAAATATATATATACATTAGGGTGTCTCAAAAATATATAGAAAAACCTTTTTTTTCTAAACTTCGCTTGTACACCCAAAATTCCTTGTTTATATAAAGGTAGAAGATAAATACATAGTAAAAAACTGCACTAAGATCATTTTAAGTGCTTACTATAAAATTCCTAAATCTTCCTTTTTTAGCTAGAAAAAATCAAACTTAAATAACTGACAGTATAATTTTTATTCTTAATCAATCTCATTATTATCATTAACTGACAGTATAATTCTATTAATTCACAAATATATCTAATTATATATTATCATATAGAAAGCTTTAAATTTTTTTTAAAGTTCGTTTTGAGTTACTTTCTTTGTTACTTTTTTTTTCTCTTTCTATCAATAGTATATTTTAACGTTGTTATTCTTTTTGAGAATATTTAAAAAAATTATTTATTGATCCGATGTTTCTTTCAGCGCAGTCGTTAATTACACTAAGTCCTTCGACAAAATTTTCAAAAACACTATATGATTCAGTTGTCAAGAAGTTGGGATGAGAATGAATCAAATCTTTGACTTGATTTACGATTCCTCGGCGTATAAATATAAGCCAGCTATCAGCAGTAACAATGTCTGTAAGCTTGCTGTTTGGTAAAATAGGATTAGGTTTTTCCATACTTATTTTTTCTAGCTCTGGAACTGGAAACGAAATTAATGACTTTAAAATCTCATACTTGACAAACATTTCCAAGTGAGAGTCAACTAGTGAAAAAACAACTATCCTGAATGTTTATGAAAACTTTTAATCAAAGCATTTCGAACATCGGCTTGATAACATATGCTGCTTTAAATGCATTAATATCATAAAGTACAGCATATTGAGCACTTCTAGACTTGAGGTACCATGGAGCATAACTTCTAGACTTGAGGTACCATGGTACCATTACGAGTAATTATAGTCATTTCTTGGAAAAAATTTATTTTTCCAAGAAATGACTATAACGAATACTTCGCATAATCTTTAGCTGCTAGCGCCAAGATGTAAAGCCTGCTACCTATTTTCAGCTTGATCCAGCTGATTTTATTTTTGCTTCTATGTTTTTTTGAGAAATATCAAACAAATTTTCAAGAAATTCTTCAAATTGATTTTCGTGTTTTTTTGTTAACTATGTTCCAGGCTAAATAACTTGTATTTCACATTGAAATGTACAATTTATTTAGTTTAATAAACTTTTGCACAACTTATACTTCAGAAATTATATAGATTCCAAAGCCAGCATATTTTCATATATTAACAATTTTTCTTAGGCAGCATATCTCCAAATTTTCATAACAGAAATCTTTGTCAAGGCAAACCATATCCCTACTCCCGCTCTTTGTTTTGCATGAAAAATTTTCTTGGGTAGACTTGAACCTTTTACTTTTTTCTGTAATAACATACTGATAATATCGTAGAACTGTTCCATTTGTTGGAAGTTGATGTTGAGGAAAAACAGAAATCGGACTTCTGAGAAGGTAAAGCGGTCGTTGTGGGTTTAAATTAACATTGTAATAGTAATAGTAATATATTTAAATAAGTCTTTATAGATTACATGACAAATAAATAAAAAAACAATCCAATAAACAGATTAAAAAACAAAAGTTTTTTTTTTTTTTTTTTTTTTATAATTACTATTTTTTTTCTTTAACTTATTATTATTTTATTTTTATTTTCTATATTTTATTTTATTTTTTTTTTGCTTTCATTTAATTACAGTTTACGTTTATGACAAATATACCTAAAAAGTCAATATTTGTAGCTGCTAAAGCACGAATTAATTAAATTAAACGTGCAGCTCATCTTCAGTAAAAGATGCAGCTGTAGGAAAAAAATACTTTTCAATTCTACTTTTGAATGCGTTAATTGACGGAGCCTTTTTGCATGACAAAGGTAAATAATTCCAATCATTCACAATACGATTTGTGATGGACGTTGGATGGTGAACTGCGAAGAGGTGGATTATGCTAATTAATAATTTCAAAACCGTTTTCAAGTTTAAACTGTTGGATCAAGTCGCCGCATCGCCTGCAAGTTTCCAAAGAAGTAAAATTGAGACGCCGACACCTTTCAGCATAAGGTAAACTTGTTATATCATGAGGAAATTTTGTTGCTTTGTGCTGAAGTTTTTCAATTTCTTTGATGTCGCCCTTTAAGTAATGACACCATACCGGAGCAGCAAATTCCAGGTGCGGCCTAACATATGTAGTATATAGTTTACCCCAAAGCTTAATATCTCTTGATCTAAATGTTTTTTTTAGTAGGCCAAGTATCATATTTGCTCTACGTGTCGCAACCTATATGTGTTGATTCCATTTTAGATCGTTAGATAAAAAGATACCCAGGTCTCTTTCAATATCCGTTGCCGCTATAATAAGAGATGTATTACCATCATTCATTACATACTCATGATTTATATTTCCATGACCAAGGTGCATAACTTTACACTTTGCAATATTTAATTCCATAAGCCATTCTTTTGACCACTCTGAGATAATGTTTAAAGCTCAGAACTTATTTCTTGCAACAGTTTAGTGTCATCAGCATAAATTTTATGAACTGATTTTAAATTATCCGTTAAGTCATTTATGTAGATGATGAATAATGTTGGACCAAGTACAGACCCTTGTGGAACTCCACTTAAAACATCGGTCCAGTCGCTAGAGTGACTACCTAAAACTGTTCGTTGTTTTCTGCTAGTCAAAAATGACTCAAAAATCCATTTGCCAACATTACCATTGATCCCATATGCTTTCAATTTATGTAGTAGTCTACAATGAGAAACTTTATCAAACGCTTTTGCAAAGTCCAAAAATGCAATATCGACAAAATTTCTTTTGCTTAACGCTTTTGTTATGTAGTCGACACTTTCCAATAAGTTATTCGTGCATCTCTTTTAGGACATAAATCCATGTTGATTGTTTGAAATGCAGCTCATTTTTTCAAGATACTTAGTTATCTATTCCTAGATAATCTTTTCCATTACTTTACATGTAACGGAAGTGATAGACACTGGTCTGTAATTAGCGGCATCAAGACGACTCCCTTTTTTAAACAACGGTGTAACATGTGACTGCTTTCATGCTGAAGGTGTTGAGCCTTCAGACAGTGCTTTATTGTAAATTAATGTTAGAGGGTAAGTCATTTGAGCTGCACATTCTTTAAGTACCTTTAGAATAATGTTATCAACACCAATAGATTTGTTCGGGTTCAAACCATTCAAATAGGCTAGCGTTGCTTCAAAACTTATTATTACATCGCCTTAGTCTTCTTAATTATGTCTTCTCTCAAAAACCGGTAACTGATCATTTTTGTTATCATCAACAAAAATTGATTTAAATTGTTTGTTAAGTCTGTTTGCGATATGTATTGCCTCTGTTAACGTTTCACCTTTAACATCTGATATAGCGCCAATAGATACATGAAGGTTCTGTTGCGCTTTAGCATAAGCATACATTCTTTTAAGATTATTTTTATCTGATGCCAGTTGAGCTTCAAATACTCGAACACGATGTGTACATGCTTTCTGAACTTGGCTTCTTAGTTTCTTATATTCACAAATGAGGGTCGTTGATCGCCAGTTTTTCATAGATAAGTAATTGCCCAGTTGTTGTTTTTTCTTTATCATAGCTAATACTTCCTTATTCATCCACTGTGCATTACGAGTAGAATGGACTTTTTTTAACGGGATGAATTGCTTGCTGAGTTTATCATATTTATTGCAGAAAAGTTCATAGCATTCGTTAGTGTTTTTATTTTCAAATAATTGCAGCCAGTTAGTTTCCATAATTTTTACCAAAGTTTTTATAGTCACCCTTATTAAAATCATATTTTTTGTTTGAGAAAGTTGTCCTATTTTTAGAAAGGACGACATAATCCCAACTCAATATGCGATGACCTTGTGACAAATCACCTAACGGCATAGAGCTAGATAAATTGATCACTCTAGTTAAAGAGTCTGTAATAATTAAATCCAAAACATTTTTTGCATTTCCATTAGATGCTTCGAAGGTTGAGAAATCAGCTAATTGTTCTAGATTATGATTAGCCAAAGTTAAACGAAAAACACTTGCAGCACTATTTTGACCGCTTAGTAATTCGATTCTTTCGTCATTATGCCATTTAATATCCGGAAATCACCTGCTAATAACATACAACTATATGCTTTTCTATTAACAGCTTGCTTAACTAAAATAATTGTTTTATTTATATTATCTATATGGGATAAAGGTGGTCTATAGACACAGCCAATAAGAATCATTTTGTTAACGATTTTAATTTCGTACCATATTTGCTCGGAGCTGCTGTTGTTTAAAGTCTCTCTTAGATGACAATTAGATACCTCATGCGCGACTAGATCACGCCTAATGTAGATAGCAACACCTCCACCGTGACCTATTTTATTTTTTTTCACTAGTGAATAGTTATTTAATTGAGTGGCAGATGTTTCAGTAAACCATGTCTCAGAAATAAAGATTAAATTAGGCATGTTTATATCACAGAGTGCAGATAACTCGTTCATTTTAGTCGGATTAAGAGAAGTTGCGTTAGTATAAAAACATTTTGAAAGTTTATTTTTAGAGTTAGATTTAGCAGATTTTATTTTTGCATTTAATGCATTTAAATAAGTATTCGCAGTTAAACGATTTGATTCATTGTGTTTTAGCAATTCTGGCTGCTTGTGCATCTTTCCACTTGATGAAAGGATGCTTTTTACGTCCCTTGATTTCAACTTCCTGCGAGACATCAATGCATCGCAATTTATCGCTGCAGATGACAAATCTAAAGGATTTGTCAAGTTCTCCTAGCTTGTCAAGGTCAGAATTAGCTGCTTTTCTTTCTAAGTTTAATTTAATAAATTCGCTTTGCTCTGCTGCTGTGCCGTCGGGGCGTATAAATATATCTTTAAAAGTACCCAATGCCAGTTGTTTAGTCGACGCTAGAACGTAATTTCTGATAAATACTGAATCAACTTCAATCATAAGAGGAGCGGATTTACTACAATCAAAGTTCTTTTTTTTTTGAAACGTTCAATTCTAACTACATTGACTGATTTACTTAAAGATGCCATAACCTTCTTGAATTCCGCGGTACCATCTTTGGTTATCTCGCTTGGTTGAGTTTTAACAGATTCTGGTAGACCAAACACTACAATTCTCTTTTCTCTGTTAGTCACGTCCTTGTTATGCTTATTGAGGGCGCTTACTACAGCTACGTTTACTAATGTACCGGGTTAGCCAACTTGTTCAACTAATTTAGATAACAAAGGTTTTTCACTACTTTTGCTATCTTTTAAAGACATTATTTCAATATCCTGCACATCAATTCTATTCGTAAGTTCGTCAATTCTAGCGGTAAGTGTTTTAATTATATAAAGAGCTTGTTTCAGCTCTTCTTTGGCAATTTTATCAGCGTTTTCAAGAGCATCATTAAGCTGTTTTTGCGTTACCATTATTAGCAATTAACCGTATATAATTATATATATATATATATATATATATATATATATATATATATATATATATATATATATATATATATAATTATATACGGAAAAATAATATATATATATATATATATATTATTTTTCCGTATATAATTATATATATATATATATATATATATATTATTTTTCCGTATATAATTATATATATATATATATATATATATATATATATATATATATATATATTATTTTTCCGTATATAATTATATATATATATATAATATATATATATATATATATATATATATATATATATTATTTTTCCGTATATAATTATATATATATATATATATATATATATATATATATATATATATATATATATATATATATATATATATATATATATATATATATATATATATATATATATATATATTAATAATAATTGTCACAATCACAAGAATATACAAAGGTAGTTATGTGTTAAAAAATTAATCCGAAAACAAATAACAGATTAAGAATCAGGTGCAAACGCGATTTTATAACAACTAGAAAGCTACAAAAGAAAACTTTAGAATGTTGAGAATAAAACTTAAAATATATATATATATATATATATATATATATATATATATATATATATATATATATATATATATATATATATATATATATATATATAAATAGAGTTAAAACTCGTTAAAAACCTTTTAAATATTATATAATATAAACGTAAATAGGATCTTCGATGAGATTGTGTTAGTTTAAAATATTTATTTATATAAATATATAAATATAAATAATAAAAAGCAGCTATATATTATATTCAGTTACTATGTGGTTAATTCGGAGCGATTGACTTCGAACCGATAATATATTGTAATATAGTAGAATAATTAGGTAATGAATATTAATATGAAAGTATATAAGATATATGATAGAAGAAGAAAAAAAGAAAAGAAAAGAAAAGAAAAAAAAAAAAAAAGTAAAAGAGAACAATTGAAAGAAAATAAAAAAAAAGAAGTCGATATTTTAAAGTCAAATAAGATAAAGTTGTTACATTGGTTTATAATAATTTAAAAATACCTGTTAACAAAAAAAAAAAAAAAAAAAAAAAATAGGTACCCAAATTATCGATGTTTCAAAAACACAGTAATATATATTATTTTTAAATATATTTGGAACAGTGATCAAGATAAGTTTGTTAATATACTACTAGTTAATCAGTTACCACCCATATCCTAAGACAGCTTTTTTTTTTTTTTTAAAAAAAAAAAAAGATTACATATGTTTTTTAAGCTATGAAAAACAACAGCTATTAAATTTGTAAAAAGAGTAAGTTTTCATTTAGATGCAGATGAAATATTTAAGTTAAGTAAAACTCTGAACACTTAATAACACCCGTTTTTTATTTTCTACAGTAAGCACTTCGAGTGGTCTTATAAATCTTTTTTCAATACTAGCGGTCTTCTATAAGTATATAGACAAAGAATTTGATGTGTTCAATTTTTTTTTTCATATTTTTGGTACACATATATCAAGCCTTGTTTTAAACCATAAACTTAACATTTTACGTTAATTGCATTAAGTAAATGCAATTAACGTAATTTACTTAATGCAATTAACGTAAGCGGTAAGCCATTTTGGCCACTTTTTATTATTTTTTTAACATTTAAACAAGTCTAAAGATATTGTTTAAGTAGAGACGTATTTGAGGGGAAGGGGAGAAGAAGGGATTAGCAGAGGAGGTTTTGGTCCCAGACGTAATCGTAAATTAGTTATTTTATATAATTATCACAAATTTCTTTTTTATTATTATGTTTAAATCATAGATCGACTCATAGATCAACGAAATATATCCAAGTTTCTTTATCACTTAAAGTACGATCACTCAAAAGGCAATCAAAAACATCATTCAAAAAGCGATCAAAGTTCGCTTGCAAATTATACATAGTTATGCGTGATTTATTCATACAAAAACGTTGATTTGATAAAAAGTCACGTTGCTCAGTTTGATCCTTTTTTTAGCACAGCATTTTGAAAAGTTTGACTATATAAGAAAAGGTTCAACATCGTACCTATCTTTTAATATATATGAGCACTTCGTAGTTATAATGGTCGCCAATGTTATACAACAAATAGAAAAGGAAATATAGGTTGCTTTTTCATCATTATTGATTCTATTTCTAATATTAACCACGTAGATTAACTGTATTCATTTTTCGGTGTGTTCAAAAGAATGCCAGATTAGAAAGATTAGATTAAATTTAAGAAAAATATTAAAAATTAACGGTAGAAAGATTTTTAAAACTTTTACCCAACTCTCGTCATAAATCTGAGGAACTATATTTTTAGTTTTAAAATTGCATGAATTAGATATACACAATAATATAAATTTTTATTGCTTTAATAATATAAATTTTGCATTGCTACTACATATAGAAATAGGGGAGACCGGGGCTAGTTGGCAGCAGGGGTAAGTTGACGAATAGCGTTTATCTGCAAAGTCTTTGATCAAAAAGTGCCAATAAAATCCAGGAAACCTTCTTAGTTGACCATTTCATCTTTCACTGTAGTATTATGGGGATTTGCGCATGCGCATAAAAGATATTGTGATTTATGTGTTTTTTCAACTTTTACGACTTCTTTATTTTTTTGATTTTTAAAAGCAATTTTATCAAGTACACGTAAACTTGATTTGAGTTATATCTTGCATGGTTCAGTAAAATCTGTCCGACTATTATTTTTTATTTATATACGTTTTTCAGGGATTGGTAGGGCAGTTTGTGACCAAATAGCTGTCAGGGTTAGTTGGCAAAATTTTGGCGGGGCAAGTTGGCCGTATATATCAATTCTATGCTAAAATAATTCTATGCTTAGTTGGTTTTGATGAAGTAAATCAACTTTTTCTATAACTTTTGATTTATTTAAAATCAGATTGATAATTTTTAAAATCAGATTGATAGATCACATATATTACATGCGAAACTATAAAAGAAAAACAAAGAGGGCTATAACTCCTCAAAATGTTATAAAAAATGCCGTTGATGCTGTTTTATTAGAAGAAAAATCTATACGAAAAACAGCCAAAGACTTCAATATCCCTGAAAAAAGTTTATTTCATTTGCACTCCAATTATGAGGCATTTTTATGCTATTCGCTTTTCCATACTGATAAGCTAGTTTCCTCACTTCCTTAGAAGAAAGTCCATAATAAATATCAGAAGCTTTAGTCACATATTGTTCCAACAGACCTTCTTGTAAATCAGTAAAGACCTAAATGAACAATATCAATAGTAAAACAAATAACACTATATATATATGCACACACGTGTGTGCACATTATAATATTGATATTTTTATTATAACATTTTAATATTGATATTGTTCATTTAGGTCTTTACTGATTTACAAGAAGGTTTGTTGGAACAATATGTGACTAAAGCTTCTGATATTTATTATGGACTTTCTTCTAAGGAAGTGAGGAAACTAGCTTATCAGTATGGAAAAGTGAATAGCATAAAAATGCCTCATAATTGGAGTGCAAATGGAGCAGCTGGAGAAGACTGGTTCAGTGCTTACCTAAGAAGGCACAAAAAACTATCAATAAAAAAACCTGAGGCAATAAGTCAAGCACGTGTTTCCAGTTTTAATCCAACAAATGTTCAAAAGTTTTACAACAATTTACAAACTATTCTTAATCGTTTAAAGTTGGAAAGTGGAGATATTTGGAATATGGATGAAACTGGTATTACAACAGTTCAAACTCCAGATCATATTTTAATAAGAAAGGGTTTTAAACAAATTGGCCGTGTTCCTTCGGCTGAGAAAGGCAATTTAGTAACTGCGGCAGTTGCTGTTTTTGCCAGTGGAAATTCAATTCCTCCATTTTTCATATTTCCTTGTGTGAAATTTAAAAGCTATTTTTTAAATGGTGCTCCTGATGGAAGTGCAGGCGCTGCAAACCTATCTGGTTGGATGACTGAAGTTCAATTTTTGCAGTTTTCCCATCATTTTGTCAAATATGCCAGAAGTACAAAAGAACGACCTGTTTTGTTGCTATTAGACAATCATGACTCTCATCTTTCCGTGGAGGCTTTAAATTACTTTAAAGAAACTGGGGTATCGGTTTGTTCATTTCCTCCTCATTGCAGCCATAAACTTAAACCTCTAGATCGAAGTGTATTTGGACCTTTTAAAAAATACACAAACACAGCTTGCGATGCGTGGATGAAAATGCACCCTGGTTCCACAATGTCTATTTACAGTATACCAGGTATTGTGGGTAACTCATTTCCATTAGCATGTCCCCCTAATAATATCAAGGCTGGTTTTGCAAAAACAGGAATTTACCCACTACATGTTAACATTTTTGGTGAACACGATTTTATGCCAGCCTATACCACAGATAGACCACCTACAAAATAAGACTGTGCTGTGGAAAGTACAGCGCTACATATAAGTAATGTAACGGATGTTGACTTTACAATATCTGAGAATGACATGATAAATGCTAGTTGCTCAAAAGATATAGAACCACGTAAAGATATTTCATATTCAAGCAGTAATGATGTACACAGTGCATCTACAGAGTCAACTGTAGTTCTATCGCCTGAAGATTTAAGACCATTCAAAAAAGCTGAACCAAGAAAAAGAGTTAGGGCTAATAAAAGAAGTAGAACCACATCAGTTTTAACAGATTCACCAAATATGAATGTTTTAAAATTAGAGAAAGAATCAGCTAAAAAAAAAAGTTAGCAATTGAAGAGAGAAAACAAGCATAAAAGTTAAATGAAGATAATATTAAGATGAGTAAAAGATCAAATAGTAGAGGAAGTTTACACTTAATGGAGAAAAGTTTGAATTGTCCAAATAGCTCTGTTGAAGAGGAGTGTTTTTGTTTGGTTTGTGTTAAAATGTTTTCTAAAAGTAAACCAGAGGAAGTTTGGGTTCAATGCACCCAATATCACCTTTGGGCTCACGAGTCATGTATAATCGGAAAATCTTTGTTTTTCATTTGCAGTAATTGCTGCTAGCCGATTTGAAACTCCATTAGTGTAAAATATTCAAGTAATAAAATAATATAAGTTTTAATTCTTATTGTATAACCATAAATTGGGAACACTGTTTTGTTTTGTCATTGTATTTTTTAATTATATTTACTTATTATTGCTTAAAATGTTACAATGACTTGATCCAAAATTTTGATGATATTGAATAAAGTATATTTCAGCTATGATTCCTTAAAAAAAAAGGGGCGGGGTGTTAAAATATTATTGGAATACACTTAAATAGGACCTTTAACTTTAGCTTTTATTATTGCGAGTCAATTTACCCCTTGAATATAAGCAACTTACCCCAGGGTAAGGTAAGTTGGCGCAATTTTTTTTTTTTTTTTTGAGGACCCAGAAAGGCCCCAAAATATTTTTTTTGTAAATGAATGCAACAAGTTACCCAAATTCATACTCTTCGAAACTACACTTTTATATTTTCAAAAAAATGTTCCGTTAGGACTACAGAGCTCATAGAGTAAAAACCGAGTCAACTAGCCCCGGTCTCCCCTACGTCAGAACAATTGAAACAGAATAATTAAAACAGAAAACGAATCACTTAAAAAACTATCAGGTAGCAGGTGGTCATCAAGATCTGATGCAAGTATTAGTTAAACAAAAACTGGAATGAAATATTTAATGCACTGTCTTTTATCAAAAATGATAAATCGCAAAAGTCAATCACAAGATCAGAAGATACTGGACTATTTTTAAAATTCGACAATCTTGAAACAGCTTTAATGGTCATATTATAGGGTGATATAGTAGAAAGATTCAACAAAACTAGTAAAAAATTGCATTCAGCTAAGATTGATTTAAAACAGTTGTAAGTTGATACGAATCGTCAATTCGATATGTATCTAAGGAGTATGTATATATGAAAAGAGAGATAGCAATTAATAAATCGGGACGCAAAACATATTGAAAATTACGCAAAGTAAAAAAAAAATTAACTGCAGATGGAAAAAAAAGGAAATATAAAATTTGAAATTCGAGACTCTTTAAGGATTAACACATATACTATTATTAGTAAACTACATTCTGAGCTATTAAGAAAAAAGTTATACTATGATGAAGCCAATAAAAAATTTAACTTATTGTTTCAAATAATAAAACTTTATCACCATAAAAATTTTACAATGAAAGCAGAAATACTTTATAATATATATAAAAATGATTTTTCGTCTTCATTTGCTAACGAGTGTATACAATTCAGAAGTTGTTTAACGAGTTTAATTGAAAACATAAGACAAAAAACTAAAAGATAAAATGATCTGAAGTGTTAAACCTCAAGAACTATATAACTTAATGTTATATCCGCTATAAGTAGATATAACATTATGGATATATCTATACTGCCTAACGTCAAAATTTTCAGCCGAAAGATCATTTTCAGCATTAAAATCTTATTTGAGGTCGGGAATGACTGGTGATTGTCATAATAGGTAAGCAATTCTATTAAATCTGCAGTTACCATAAATATCCACTTTAATTAAAGTGAAACTTGCTTTGCAAATGTATTATAATACATTTACAAAGCAAGATTCAAACCGAAATTATATATATTTTTAACTTTAGTGAGTTTAACTTAATATATATATATATATATATATATATATATATATATATATATATATATATATATATATATATATATATATATATATATATATATATATATATATATATATATATATATATATATATATATATATATATATATATATATATATAGGGAAAATGTGCCTATGATGGCATACTTAACTTTGAAGCTTCATTATTTAGTATCCTGAAGACTAAGAACAAAAGTTTTGATATGGATACATTCTTTGTTACATGTAGAACAATAATAACATTAAGAGTTTTCATCATTTTTATTTTTTTATTAATTATTTTTATTTTGATAAAAGCACAAGTATGCTATCATAGGCAACTACTACTCCTATGATGGCATAGGAGAGGATGGGGTTGGTTAGCATTAAGGGTAACTTGACAATTTCATTTGACCTAAGAGTCTTCCCTCAAAAATGCCAGAAACTACGCGTAATCATCCTAATTAATCTATTTGTGCTACACAGCAGCAGTGTCAAATTTTGCGCATGCGTTTAAGAAGTATTGCGTTTTATGTGTATTTTGAACCATAAATTTTTTTAATGAATAAAAAATTTCTTTTTACTTCAATAAAAAGTATGTTGTTTTTATAAAAAAGAAAGGTTTTCTCCACTCCTCAATATTGCGAAACTCCTAACTCGTCAACATGCCATCATAGGAAGAAGTCTTCATTTTCATTTAAACAGGCTGTGTCTGCCTTGTTTAAAAGATAAAATTAAAGTAAATGTTCCACTAAATGCACATAACTTGGAAATAAAATGAATGAAAATTTAATTTCTGCACAGTTAATATTAAAATCACAATATTAGATATTTAAAGGGATTAAAAATTCAACAGCACATCCCAATTTTTGTGCATAAGTGACGTATTTTTACTAAAACTAATGTAAAGTCAGTATAGACATGTGGGTCTAATCCCTTTTTCGCCATAACTAATATTTATGAAAATATGACCGGTATGCCATCATTGGCGCTATGCCATCATAGGCGCCTATCCCATATGTTTGAGTTGAAAATGCTTTTTTTTTTTTTAATAATCATCCCATATCAAAGTTGACAGTTATTTGTAAAAGAGAGCGCCTTAAGGATTAGTGTCGCTAAAAATATAAATACGTCTCTGTGTTTAAGCGGTACGATAAAAAAAGTAATTAACCTTATAAACACTTACGAAGTTTGATTGACGATTACGTAAAAAAGTTTGCATAAAAATTACGTTTGATATTTTGATATATAGCAATCAGGACCCGTAAAATACGGGTCTTTGTAAATCTAAATCAATATTTTTTAGGTGGCGGCAGAAAAATAGCTATATTTATATACAAAAACTATACTCATTATTTGCTTTTTACAAAAAAAAGTTTAGTTAACTTTTAAAATTTTTTAGACGTTTCGGTAGCCGTTACGCGAATCGCTATTTATCAACTAAATAAATATCAGTAGCAGTCTAAATAACATTTAGAACACCTGCTTAAATGTCTTTATTAATTACCCTCGGTTTAAAAAATTAAAAAAAAACATGAGATGACTTAAATATGTGGAATAGCGGACTTACCATGACCCGTATTCTGGTCATTCTAAGTTTATTCCACTTCAACCATTTTAATAATTTCGCTTTATTTCAATAATTTTTAAAAAATAGTAAAATATTAAAAACTTTGTTTTGAGTTAACGATTTATGTTTAATACTTTGATTTTTTTTTTCTTTAATACGTTTGTAATAATTTTTTTCAGACCATCTGCAGTTTATTAGGTCTCTTGCTCCGTTAACTTTGAAGAAAGTTAAAGTTGGCATATAAAGTAAGCCAACTTTGATGGCATATTTTATATGCCATTTTTAATGGCATATAAACGCGCAAGCTAATTACTTACAGGGTTATTCATTTTTATATGCGCGTCTATTCATTTTTATACGCGCCTTTATTCATTCTTATATGCGCATTTATTCATTTTTATATGCGCCTTTATTCATTCTTATATGCGCATTTATTCATTTTTATATGCGCCTTTATTCATTCTTACATGCGCATTTATTCATTTTTATATGCGCCTTTATTCATTCTTATATGCGCATTTATTCATTTTTATATGCGCCTTTATTCATTTTTATATGCGTTTTACAAAAGCAATTGTAAAAAAGCAATTTGAACAAAAAAATATCATTTAAGCAATTTGTTTCGAAAAAACAGTTTATTTTTTCAAAACAAATTATTCTTTTTTCCAGGTAAACGAGGTTAAAAATACTTAAAACGAAGACTTTTTACATTCGACGATGGTTTATTTAATTTAGTATTAGTTCTTTGTTTTCGATGATAGTTTATTTAATTTATTATTAGTTCTTTGTAAATTTATTATTATATTTCTTGATTGATTAAGTTATTATTTATCTAATTATTCATTTATCTAGATTTAAATTTAATTGTTTATAATTATTATAAATATCAAATTATACACCCCTATGGATGGAATAGTCAAAGATAATCTTGAATTACACGTAAGTTACGCAACTGTTTGAAGGCGCTTAAGAGAGAACAGTCCACGAAAGGTTCCTTTGTTGACAAGAAAACATACCGCCAAACGGTTGTAATTTGCAAAGCAACATCTGAATTGGCCCATCAAAAAGTGGTTCCAGGTCAATGGGCTTGAGGTTATGGAATGGACTGCTCAGTCACCCGACCTAAACCTTGTTGAAAACTTATGGCGAGACGTTAAAAAAGCAGTTATGAATAGCTATTCACTACTACTAATCCAATTAGTAGTTATGAATAGC